GTTGCAACCTCCGATGATGGGAGAATGAGAGACGGTCCCTAAGATACGATGGACCCTGGTCGTAAAGAATTTTAATGGTCAGAACTAGCATCTTATATAGACCACGATAATCAGTTGGAAGCCAATGCAAATGCCGCAACACTGGTGTTATATGGCATTTCATGGGTGCTCTTGTGAGTAGCCTGGCTGCCACATTCTGAACAATATGGAGCTTTTGGGTCGTAGACATCGGAAGGCCAACATACAGGGCGTTGCAATAGTCCAGCCTAGATGTGACCGTGGCATGGATGACTGTTGCCAGAGCCTCATCAGATAGGTAGGGTGCCAGTTGCCTCGCTTGTCGTAGATGGAAAAAGGCCTGTTTGCTGGCAGCAGCGACCTGAGCTTCCATTGTCAGCTGCGAATCCAAAACGACACCTAAGCTCTTTAACCAATGGCTGATACCAAATGAGAGACTCCCCCCTGGGCACACAGAAGACTGGGCGACTTGGAAGGCACTGAACAGACTGCGCTCTGGCACCACGAGATGCAGAGCCAACCTTCAGAAATGGGGCCACAAAGTGGAATCCTCGACATGCGAGTGTGGAGAAGAGCAAACCACTGACCACCTGCTGCAATGCAACCTGAGCCCTGCCACATGCACCATGGAGGACCTTCTTGCAGCAACACCAGAGGCACTCCAAGTGGCCAGATACTGGTCAAAGGATATTTAATCAACTACCAAACTTGCAAACTTTGTGTGTGTTCTTTTTAAAAAAAAATACAATACAACTATTTAGTTCACTCCTGACATGACAAATAGATAAATAAATAAGTGAAAAAAGGCATCCCCCCTCTTGATGTGTCCCACCAGTCTGAAAACTCCTCTTGCATATTCCCTGGAATTAGGTTATTATTTGTGGTGGCCTGCTACGTATCAGGTTAAGGCCTGCCTTCCTTCTTTCCTTCCTTCCTTCCTTCCTTCCTTCCTTCCTTCCTTCCTTCCTTCCTTCCTTCCTCTCCTGCTTTTCCCATTATCTTTCATGATTGTGGCATTTGGGAAAGCATTTCATAACCACTATCTAGATTTATACTAATTGCTCTGCAAACATATTTAGCATTTAGGAGCTATCATAGTGGTGGACAAGTAGGTTAACATGATGGAGGGCTGAGCAACGTTTCTCACCGTCTCTGCATCTCAAGAGGAGAAACGTGCTTAGATATAATGTGACTGCAGCTCTAATCACACTTGGATTGAAAACGGCAAGAGTCTTTACTTGTGGCTCAAGGTGGGTTCCTTGGAAGCTGCTCTCTGATTCGGACATTTTGACAACATGAGAGGTGGAGAGGGGATCATGGCTAGTGTATTGGCCATGACACATCAGGGATGGGTGCTCATTCTCAGATAAATGCAAGACCATTAAGTTGGAAGGGTTATCTAGTCTGACTATCTGCTAGTGCTAAAACGACCTTGGAGAGTGTCCATCTAAAATCAGGTTGAAAAACCTTTGGTGAAAGAGTGAATCAGTGACCTTCCAAGGCATTATTTCACTATCTTATTGTTAGGATATTCTTCCTAACGCTTAGTTGGATTCTCCTTTCTTGTAATAATGAATCCATAGATTTGGGTTCTTTCTTCAAGAGTTATGACTGATACATCTGATTGGGCCACTAGAGATTTTGGTCTGAAAGCTGTTATTATTTACAGTTAGAGGAGACCAGTTGAATCAATTGCTTATACAAACAGTTGATTCAATAAGTATCTTCCAGAGTTCGTCAACTAATAGGGGTCAAGCCTTCCTACTATATACAGTGGACCATCTTTTCCCAGTGCATCAACCTCTAGATAATTTTGTTGGACTACCACTCTCGTAAACTCACCAGGGGAATGGTTATAGAATCATAGAATCAAAGAGTTGGAAGAGACCTCATGGGCCATCCAGTCCAACCCCCTGCCAAGAAGCAGGAATATTGCATTTAAATCACCCCTGACAGATGGCCATCCAGCCTCTGTTCAAAAGTGTCCAAAGAAGGAGCCTCCACCACACTCCGGGGCAGAGAGTTCCACTGCTGAACGGCTCTCACAGTCAGGAAGTTCATCCTCATGTTCAGATGGAATCTCCTCTCTTGTAGTTTGAAGCCATTGTTCCATTGCGTCCTAGTCTCCATGGAAGCAGAAAACAAGCTTGCTCCCTCCTCCCTGTGGCTTCCTCTCACATATTTATACATGGCTATCATATCTCCTCTCAGCCTTCTCTTCTTCAGGCTAAACATGCCCAGCTCCTTAAGCCGCTCCTTAAGCCACTTGTTCTCCAGATCCTTGATCATTTTAGTCACCCTCCTCTGGACACATTCCAGCTTAGAGTCAATATCTCCCTTCAATTGTGGTGCCCAGAATTGGACACAATATTCCAGGTGTGGTCTAACCAAAGCGGAATAGAGGGGTAGCATGACTTCCCTAGATCTAGACATTATGCTCCTATTGATGCAGGCCAAAATCATAGCTTAAGCTCTGTATTACTTCAATCACATGCTGAATGAATACAGTTACTATCAAAAACCGTTGTTTGGGAGGCCATATGAATATTCTTCCTGTAGCCCCAAAAATGATAATACACATATGTCAGACTTTCCCAATTCATGTGTCTTGTCATGACAAAAAATAAATAAAAAGAAATCCAGTGGAAAAGTTATGTATTCTGAAATCTGTATTTGTTATAAGTTGACATGAGTCATTTACAATAGGGAGCAGGGAATAAATAAGGAGCTTTTGAGAACATCAGACTTCTACCAGGGTTCTGTTGAGCTTCTCATAAGATCAATGATTCCTTCCAGCAGAGGTCATATGTCCAGATATATTCTCAAAAGCAAAAGGACTAGAATCTTGAAACTAGTCTAGAATCTTAAAACTCAACTATGGTGAGTTTCAATAGAATAACAAGGTTGGAAGGTGCTCCAATGGCCACCCAGTCCAACACCCAGGGAGTTGTACTAGATGGACTTTGCTATCAGTGTTTTGTCAAAGGCTTTCATGGCCAGAATCACTAGGTTGTTGTAAGTTTTTTGGGCTGTATGGCCTCTATGAACCAGTTTGTAGATTAAGATCTTCCGGGGAGGTCCTGCTCTCGGCCCCACTGTCCTCACAGGTGCGGCTGGTGGGGACGGGGCCGAGAGCAGGACCTCCCCGGAAGATCTTGATCTACAAACTCATTCATAGAGGCCATACAGCCCCAAAAACGTACAACAACCTAGTGATTCTGGCCATGAAAGCCTTTGACAATACAAAGGGGGTCAGGGCCTTCTTGGTGGTGGCCCGATGGCTGTGGAACTCCCTCCCAAGTGAGATCAGGTCAGCCCCCTCCCTCCTGACCTTTAGGAGATAGCAAAAGACCTGGCTGTAGAACCAAGTGTTCAGCCCAACATAGGAATATTTAAAGTTGAAGCGAAAGTTGAAAGTGCAATGACTCAGGACTGTTTACGACAACATCTATGTCTCTGTGTGATGTTATTTTGTGTGATGTGTTTAATAATGTTTCATGCTTTATTAGGGGAGGGTCAATTTTAATGTGTTATACCATTTTTATTGATGGCATTGAATTGTTGCCAACACTGTGAACCGCCCTGAGTCCCCTTCGGGGTTGAGAAGGGGGTATATAAATATTGCAAATAATAATAATAATAACAACAATAATAATAATCCAGAAGCATTCTCTCCTGATGTTTTGCCTCTATCTATGGCAGGAAACACTAGGAAAATTGGGTCTATATGTCTGTGGAATGTCCAGGGTGGAAGAAAGAACTCTTGTCTGTTGGAGACAAGTGTGAATGTTTCAATTGGCCACAGACTTTGCTATCTCTCCTAACTCTATGATACCATAAAGTCAAATCCTTTTGTTACACCCTTGAAATTTGGCTTTATCCCATTTATAAAATGTGACTTTATAGGAAACCCAGGTCTCGGCGGTGGCCGGGAGAGCTTTTGCACAATTAAAACTTGTGCGCCAGCTGCACCCGTACCTTGGGAAGTTGGATCTGGCCACGGTGGTCCACGCTCTTGTTACATCCCGTAGATTACTGCAACGCACTCTACGTGGGGTTGCCTTTGAAGACTGTCGGAAACTCCAACTAGTCCAGCGGGAGGCAGCCAGATTGCTCACCGGAGCGTGATACAGGGAGCATACCACCCCCCTGTTGTGTCAGCTCCACTGGCTGCCGATCCAATTCCGAGCACAATTCAAAGTGCTGGTTTTGACCTACAAAACCCTATACGGTTCCGGCCCAGTGTATCTGTCCGAACGGATCTCCCTCTACGTCCCACCTCGGAGTTTAAGATCTTCTGGGGAGGCCCTGCTCTTGACCCCGCCTCTATCACAAGTGAGGCTGGTGGGGACGAGGAGCAGGGCCTTCTCGGTGGTGGCCCCTCACCTGTGGAATTCACTCCCGGGAGATTAGATCGGCGACTTCCCTCTTGTCATTTAGAAAAAAAATGAAAACTTGGATGTGGGACCAGGCATTTGGACGTTCTGGCAGCTAGAGGAAGGGCCTTGATGATGGACAGGAATTGACTGAACGGAATGGATTTATGGAACTTTGAACACTAAGCATGAGATTAGTTTACTGATTGTGTTATGTACTGATGATTTTAACCTGTTAATTGTTTAATTGCTGTTTTGTATGCTTGTATATTTGACATAGGCATCGAATTGTGCCTTCTTTGTAAGCCGCCCTGAGTCCCCCCTTGGGGGTGAGAAGGGCGGGGTAGAAGTAATTGAAATAAATAAATAAATACATTTATTGAACACAACTTTTTCAGAAAGGTCCATTAAGCAACAGATCGAGTCTCATAGTTATGGGTTTCAACCATATACCTCAGGAAAAGATGCTACATTTATGATGTATCTCTTTTTTGTAGCCCGCTCTGTACTGGAGTTGGCTCTGAACTGAGAACTTGTGCAGGCAATGGTGGAGTCCTGGTTGCTAACGGTGCCTTCTTCTTTTTCTCTCCTTGTGTCTCCTTGCAGATGAACAGACCAATCCAGGTGAAACCAGCGGACAGCGAGAGCCGAGGAGGTAGTTGTGTTCTTTGTTTCTAGCCTCCAGTGTGGGGTGTAATTGTTGTCTGTGGCTTCTCGTGGGCCGTGTGATCAATTAGTAACACAATCACTGCCAAAGCAAAATCCCCTCTGCTGCCAAGATGCTCTTTATTAAATCTCCTTCACTTCGACTTGCTTTTGCTCATATTCAATTATTATTTGATTTTGAAAGGCAAGGAAGTGCCAACCATTGCTCAGGAAACAAATAACAGCCTTGTTAAGAAATGGGCCTTGGCCGGCGGACTTAACAAAGTGAACGGTCTTGACTGCGGCATGAGTTTCGGGAAAGTCTCAGGAGGCCAAAGCAGAAAGTTTTATTCTCGTTCTGCTGTAATGTATTCCTTTGTGTTGTTGTTGCTTCTAAAGGGGGGACTCGAATCTGTCCACTTTGGAAGAAACTAACTTTGATCTAGAATGCAGTTGGCTGATTGCTGACCTGGAGGCATTTTAGACGGTCCCTGTTGGCCCTGCCATGTTTTAATCAAGGTGTGATTTAGAAAAAAAACACAAAACACAATGCTTATAGTTCTGCTTGTACAGAAAAGTGGGAACAAATAAATGGAACATAATAATGTTACACTTCCTCTTTGCATTTTAATGCAATGTCTGGGATATGCTTGAGCACAGCGACTCTAAAAGAACAATGTTCCTATTACAAGAGGACAACTGCTTCACTACCAGGTCTGATCGCCCCTGTGTAGGCCTATTTCTGTGGCAAAATAGATTTTCTGTCTCCCATACAAGTGGCAGTAGCAGTATTTGGATTTTCTACTTGAGAGTTGTGTTGTGTGGCTCTCATCTGGTTTACAATCAGGTCGTGTGTGCATCCAAAGCATGCTTAAACAAAATGTGTCTTGACTGCAGTTAGAGTCCTAAAACAAATTCCTCCAGACTTGCAAAAGTATGTTAATCAATGTTTACAACTGGGGGCTGTGCGGTATGTTGGGGTGTGAAGGGATGGGTGTGTTGGTGTGTACTGGGAAAAGCATTTAATTTCATTGTGCCATAGCACAATGACAGTAAAGCTGTTCTATTCTATTCTGTTCTGTTCTGTTCTGTTCTGTTCTGTTCTGTTCTACTCTACTCTACTCTACTCTACTCTACTCTACTCAATTCTATTCTATTAAATCTTGGTTGCTGCTTTCCATTCCAGTTGAGGTAGATAGCCATCCACTCAACTCTCCTACCCTGGTTGCATCTACGCCAACCAAAACAATCTGGAGCGCTCTGCTCTGGAGCTGACTTGGATGAAGCATTGGCTGGATCAGAGCCCTTTGCAAGTCCAGATGGCTGACTTGGATGACAGTGCATTAGGGCCACCACCGCCATTTTACTGACCAACGCATCTCCTTGGAAGAGCTTTGATGGCGATCTTGCTTTTGATGAGATAACAACATGGCATCCATCCTTAGGACCAGCAGAAGAAAGATCAACAGTGAGGCGTTACCAGCATGCTGCCTCTACTCGGCAGCAAAACAATGGGTCTGTTTGAGGTGTGGACACTACATCAGGTTCCAACTAGCCTTATCTGGTTGTCCACACCTAAAAAAAACACCAGAAATAACAACCTGTCCCTTGTTCCAGATCAATGGCTGGAAGTAGTGCTTGCTCCTACTATAAAACCAGCCATACAATGTGTTGACTTTATGTAGTATCTGCGAGGTGATTCTGTTTTATTTGGCCCTTGTAGACACAACCACTGTCGTCCTCTCTTACATGTAGAGGTAACATCTTGGGGGAAGTCTGTGTACCTTATTTAATATCACAAGTGTCTTTAGATCTTTGCTGAAAAACATACTAGTGTGATGTATTGTCGAAGGCTTTCATGGCCGGAATCACTGGGTTGTTGTAGGTTTTCTCGGGCTATAAGGCCATGTACACAGCAACAACACAACCTGGACACAGCATTTTATTTCAGAACACAGAAATGCTGGACCACTCTCACAACCACCATGTCAGACTACACAGAGAAGCCATTGAACTACACAAGCATGTGGACAATTTCAACAGAAAGGAGGAAACCATGAAAATGAAAAAAATCTGGCTACCAGTATTAAAAAACCTCTAAAATTACAACAGCACAACAACAGAGAGGAGACGAACAAGGACATCTAATCTCAACAAATTTTTGCTCTAGGCAATGTCAGGCCATTATATGCTAATCAAGGTGGTCAGTTGAAACATTCACACCTAGCTCCAGCAGACAAGAGTCCTTTGTCTCACCCTGGTCATTCCACAGATATATAAACCCTTTTTCCTAGTTCCAACAGACCTCACTACCTCTGAGGATGCTTACCATAAATGCAGGCAAAACGTCAGGAGAGAATGCTTCTAGACCATGGCCATATAGTTCGAAAAAACCTACAACAACCCGTACCAGTGTGAGTTGATCTGACCTCGTAGTGAAGGGAGACTATTGAAAGAAGGGAGAAAGAATGAGAAGGAAGTGGGGAGAGAGTGAAACAAAAAGAGAATGGAGAAATATTCAGTGTTGCACCTGGACTCGATGCGTGCAAGCCAATGCAGAATGAAGGGAGAAGCAGAGAGCGGAGGCTGGTGGAGGGAGAGACAGTCTGCTGTCTGTCAAATGGGATGCACCCAAAATAATAATCAGAGCAGCCAATTTGCTGAGTGCTCCTTGAGGGTGTGTTGCCTGTGAACCAGCCGCCTTTACCAGGATTGCTAATAAGCAGGCGGGTCGTGAACAGTGTTCCAGAAAGGGATGCATACATATAGACACACACACACTTTTGTGAAACTCTCTTGGCATTGCAGCTGCCTCGTCTTTCAAGAAGGTGCTCTGGAAGGGTGTGAGTGGGTGAATCATTTATACCTGTCACACACTCCCCGGTAGCCGCCCTCTTAGTATTTTAGCTAATTACTTTCCCCCTTTTCACCTCACTGCTGCCTTGTTTATTGCTCGTCTCGGCATTTTTATTATCATATGAAGCCCAGTTTGCAGGATTGGAATGGAAACCACGTTGTCCAGATTCCCCAAAGAGGAGCCTACTTCTGGGCCGGTGGAGATGCTTGGAGGACGTTGTGACTCAAGGGCAATGATGGGAAGCTGAGCAATTGGAACATAAGGGAAGGGTTAAGTATGGAGGAGGCAGGGGATAGAATGAATCTGGGCTCAGTGCAAAGACCACAGCTAGTATCAGGGAGGCAAGCTGCATACTAACAGGAAAGCTGAATATCTTAGCCAAAGTGGCAGAAAATGTGGGTCATGGATATGCGGTCAGATGCAACGATGAGTACAAGACACCAGTCCTTTTTCAATGAGTGTTGTTGTGTGGCTTGCTGTCCTTCAGGACAGGAACTGAGATGTTCATATTAGGAAAAAAAAACTGTCTTGTTGCATGTCCCACTACCATGAGAGGATAGGCAGTTATTTTAGATCACAGTTTCTCAAACTGTGCTCCTTGAGATGTTTTTGACTTCAGATCCCATAATTCCTAACAGCTGGTAAGTTGGTTGGGATTTCTGGGTGCTGAAGTCCCAAACACCTGGAAGAGCATAGTTAGAGAAACACTGCTCTAGAAAATGGCAGTGTGAAGAACTTACTTGATATTGTCTTAGGAATTTATCTGAATGGTCACCTTCTCTTGCATCAACTTGAAGATCTGAGATCTTCAGCGTAGGTCTTTCTTGAGTAAACTCAGGGAACAAGGAGCTATGTAGGATACAACATAGAGCCTTTTCTGTAGCAACACCTTGGAGCACCCAAAAGATGTCAGTCTAGCTTTACTCCTATTGAGCTTCCAGCAGCCAGTGAAAATTGCATTGTTTCACCTGACCTTTAAAACCAAGTTTGGAAGCAATGTTTTCCCTGCGTACTTTTGAAATGATGTTCAAGAACAGTTTTAATCTGCCAGAATGCTTTTCTCTGCTCCACACTGCCTTGGGAACTCCAGAGGTCTGAGAGGTGATGAACAGATATTCTTAATAAACAAACAAGCAAAACAATAAAAGTGAGCAATGTCAACCAAGATGCATGGTCTTGGGCTCCCTGCTGTGCACCAGGAGCCTCCAGCTTAAAGTTCACGATGCTCAAGTCAAGCCAGTGAGTGTAGCTGTGGAGGGTGGCATGGAGTTTTGTGACAGGTCATAGCATCCTACAGAGAACATGTTTCTGATTTTATAACTGGGTCACAGGAAAGCTTTCCAGATGAAGGCTGCAGATCTGCCTAATAAGAAATTTTCTGGTTTCTTATCTTTAAGAAATGGGCAAGTGACCCCAGAAATCTCATTGTTTACAAGGCCTCACTAGGATAAACCATGAAAAAACTTGTCAGAATTTTAATCAAAATCCTTCCTTCCTTCCTGTTGCAGTGCTTAAGTTGTTCCTTATCATTTCTGGAGGCACAACTTTATAAGTACAGCTCTTCTAAGCCAGTGGTTCTCAACCTGTGGGTCCCCAGATGTTTTGACCTTCAACACCCAGAAATTGCTGGTAAAATGGCTGAGATTTCTGGGAGTTGTAGGGCAAAACACCTGGGGACCCACAGGTTGAGAACCACTCTTCTCGGCACTCTAGCTGTCAAAGTTGTGTGTATGATCATAGCACTTACCAGAAAAGTTTCAACTTAAAGACATCCATGCTCCAAGGAGCTTCCAATCTAGATTTTATCAGAAGGAAAGTCATCTGAGGAACAGCAGGAATCTGTACATGAAAGATCTGCACAAGCCTTTGCTTAGTTTAAGTTTGAAGGACTAGGTGACTGCCTGGAGTGAAAATGAAAAATATCCAAATGAACAATGAGATGGCATGGGTTTTCATAGAAGCATAGACTCCTAGAGTTAGAATATACACCAAGGACCATCCAGTAAAACCCTATCCTACCAAGACATCTAATCCCTCCCAAAGGATGGCCACCCAGACTCTGATTTAAAATCTCCAACAGTGTTTGGATGAAATTTATTTCCCTTCAGTTTGAATCCATAGGTCTGTGTCCTAGTCTCTGGAACAGTAGAAAA